CCTCCCTCCACTATCTCTTTCAAGTCTCGTTATTTCTGTTTTATTTTCTGCTTCAGCCTCTTTTTCCTGCTAGTCCCTCATCGCTTTCTTTTTGGTCAGTCTGTCTTTCCCCTCATCTCTCTCTGTGCCTGTGTTATTCACGCTTTTTAACTCTTTTTTTAAAAAAATAAAAACTGCAGTCTAATTTTTTTGGTGACTTGACTTTGTTTCTTCCATTTTCCCCACTTTCTTCTCTATCGTTCTTGCTCTCTGCTTTGTTTTTCATCTTTCCGTTTTATGGTTTTCTCTCCTTTTCTCAGTATCTTTTCTTCCCACCGCCCCCACCGTTCGCTCTTCCTTTTCCGTGTCCCACCTCAGTCCTCTCCCCATTCCTCCCACCTCTCCGAGCTCACGGCCACCTCTGCCCCCTTTCTCTGGCCTCCTCTCCTGTCCTCCACCCCCTTGCTCTCCTTATTCTGGGCCTGCGTCTAGCTGGGTGTGGGTCTCTCCGTTGGGGTCCCCAGGCTGGAGGGGGTATCCTGCCCACCCTTCCTCTCCGCCCCAGAGTCCAAGCTGGAAGCCCCATCCCACCAGTGCTCCCTCTACCCACTCTCCGCCCGGACCCTGCCAACCCTCTTTGCTTGGGCCCCACCGCAGCAGGGGCAGGGGGTCTGGCGAGAGGATCTGAGTTCACTCAGCAGGGAGGCTCACCTTCCATGTCCCTGGTGACAGTGCTGAAGTGCATCCCGGCCGGGGATCCCAGCAGCCGGCCAAGCTTCACCCAGTTAGAGGACCCAGGGCCCAGGCGAGAGGTGCGCTCTGCGGTCTCTCCTGCAACCAGAGAGGCAATGCTGAACGCGCTGGCCCGGGGAGACAGCGGGCTCCGCGCGTCCATAGGCGCCTGGCGGCCTGGCCGGCGCCGCCTCCGACTGCGTGCACCCAGCCCCACCAAGGCCGGCCCAGCCCACGGGCCCCGGGGGCGGGGGCCCGCGGTGCCACTCACAACCACGGCCCTGGGCCCAGGGGATTGTGGCGTCACGGCCCCCTACTCTGGGCCGGTGGCAGCCAAGGGGGCCCAGGCGGGTGGAGAGCCCTGGGCGTGTCGGCCCTCCTGCTTTTCAAGCTCCGGGCCCCTCGCCTTTGCTCCCAGGGGCCTCCATGACCAGCACCCCTTGAACCTCCTGCTGCTCCTGCCGAGGCCGGGGTTCCCTCTGTACAGCGAAGCCCTCAGCTTCTACAGCCCCCGGAGGGGAGGTGGCGACACCAGGAACTCCCAGCCCCAT